CCATATCTAAGAGCAACAGAAGCCAATTCTCCTTGCAACCATTTGGACTTCTCTATCGCCAGATCGCCTGACTTGCGCATTTTCTTTCGACTTTATCACAGTCTTTATTGGTCATCGTTTTCGACATTTTTCTTCAAAGTGTTTTAAAAAATCGTACTTTAAAATTGAAAAAGATAAAATGAAAAATTTCTTAATTTTTTAAATTTCTCCTTTTTTTCCTTATTTAAAAATTCTTTTCCAATTAATTTCAATTCTTTTTTTTTTTTTTATTTTGTGATGTAAATATTATAAAAATTTTCAATTTTCAAATATATTTTCAAATGATTTTATATTTTATTTTATATTTTATAAAAAAATTTGAGCAACATTTATGCTTTATTTATATTTTCATCTATTTTTCGCATTATTATGTATAATATAAAATATTTTAATAATAATAATAATAATTTTTAAAAAATTTTAAATATTTGATTTATTCAATGTTGTTTAAAATTAGGAATTAATATAAGATCAATAGTTAATTTTGATAATTATTTTATTTTATTATTATTGCATTATTAAATAATTAATAAAATTGTATTATTAAATAATTGTATTATTAAATAATTAATAAGTAATATTTTATTATTATCATTATTACTAAATTTTATTAATCTATTTGTCTAATCATATTTATATTGATATTTTACTCTATTATCGTTGAAAAAAAAAAATGTTTTTGAGATTTTCTCATAAATTAACTAATTGTTGCGTTTTTATATTATGGAAAAGCTTTTTTTCATGACTAATATATGCTTCGAAAATATTTAGGTTACTGTGGAAAAGTAAACGGTTGTGTGAAAAATATTGGTGATTTTTACTGGTGACAAAAATCATCAATACTTTCAGAGGTAATTAATACTGATATCCTTCGTAACCAATTTATTTATCATTTATCAATATTTATCACTAAAGAAAATGCTTAATTTTCTTTAGTGGAGATAAATTTTTTCTCATCTAGATTCGTTTATTGACCGACTGAATTCTATTCATATTTATAGAAAATAAGCTAAAATTGAGTCAAGGAATGCGTTTTTCCGTAATCTTTGGAATCGAGGCGAAAGCATTGAGAAAATTGCCAAAAGTTCGTATCTATCTATCTATAATTTCTTATCGTGTAACTGCGAAATATGATCAGTAAGAATGAAAAATAACTCATATACTTTTGAAGTAAATTCGATCAGTTTCCATTCATCCCTTAATTCGTTAATCTCTTTCCACCGAAACTTTTCCTTCATTTTCTGAAATTGTGAAATTCGTTCATAATCATTTATGGCGAACCATGCCTAAGGTATTATCTTTTATACCCTCTAAGCGCATAAATAAACTCTTAAGGAATACAACCATTATCAGCGTAGAGCGTCGCTAGTTAGGCTATCATAGGAACAAATTGCAACAAATCTTGGCGTCTTGCAAAAAAATAAAGAAAACCAATCAAAAACTGGGAATGATAGAATGCGGAGATATTTTGAGCATAAAGATAGTCCAATAATATAAGGGTTAAAATGATGGAAAAAAAGGCTATTTGTTATTTTCGGATTGAACGCCTTTGAAATGTTTGAGTTTTCAGAGAGCTGGCGAACCACAATATAACAAATCAGTAATGGTGCAAGGTTGAAGAAAAAATCTGCACCAAATTTAAATTTTTAAAATTTAATACTTTTAACATATAATATTAATTTCATTAATCAATTCTTCGGCGAAGAACTGCTAGAGTCGACTAGTCGATTAATCTATAATCTCCATCAAGTTAGGACCACCATATATCGTGATAATAATATAGTTTATCAGTTTATCTCCTAAGCTAACCTAACCTATTATTTATTGCAAAGTTCGATCGTATTCGTTAATTTATTTTGGTGCATTAATTTTTTTTTCTGAATTTTATTCATATTTAAAATTTAAAATCTATTCTATTATTTTATTTTATTTCAAATTCATTTATAGTTTTCCTAATAAAAAATTTTTTAAGTTGAAATGATAAAAGATAAAATATAGAAAAAATAATTTCATCAAATAATAATAAAAACTAATAATAATGATGATAATAATAATAATGGATGATAATGATAATAATAGTGGTGACGATAGTAAAGAATAATAATAAAAATAATAAATAATTATTATGAAAGTAATTGTGGCTGATGACATTTGATTCGTTCAACTCTTTTGTACTGTTTACTTTATTACTTCGTTCATTTTATCAATATTTGATATAAAGCTGTGTGTGCGAATCAATTTGTCATCAATTTTTAATATTTTATCGAACGATAAACTATGATGCTAGCTGATAGACTGATAAATAGATACTTGCTTACTTAAAAACTCCCAAAAGTGCCTTTCATTTATCTTTCACTTTAATCCAAATCCAGGATAATCTTTTTTTTTTTATATCCTCTGTTACCTTATCAAAAAAATTATCTTTTTATCCCTTATTTATGATAAATATGATTCATGAAAAAAATTAAATGATAAAAACTTATTTTTCATATTTAAATATATTTTGTTTAATATTCTTTTAATATTTAATGTTCTTTTTTTGTTTTATTTTGAATATTTTAATGAATATTTTAATGCTTTAGAATTTATAAATGGAATTAAATGCACGAGGAAATTTTTTTTCTCTCAAGTTTTTTCTTTATTAAATGAATTTTTTTATAAATTTAAGTGGGATTTACTAATTTCAAATTTAAATTTATTAATTTTAAATTTAATTTTAAATTTAAATTTAAATTTAATTTTGTTATATTAAATGTAAATTTGAAATTTTAAATCCAAATTTATTAAATTAAATTTCAATTTTAATGTATGGCAAATGATAAAATCTTGTTTTTTATCATTAAATAAAATTTATCATTTGATTGTCACTTGAATTATTTAAATTTTAATAAAATTAAATATATTTACATAAATTGATTTTTTCGCATAAAAAGTTTAGAAATCGACGTATACCTATAACAAATACATTTTTTGTCGAAAAGTGCTCACTAACATTCCGCTACCATTCGTCTCGTTCCTCTGGTTTAACGGACCAGAAAAAGGAAACCACCATCACTTGGCGACAGAAGTATAGGTGAGTGACAAGAACCACATGGCGTGAAAAAAATGCATGTTTCATGATCTGTTAAACATTTTTAATTCAATCGCTATTTGTAAGCCATAAAATCTATGAAATCGCGGTATCCGTCGTGTTTCATTTATATCCTCTCAAATTTCTTTATACTGCTTTAATATTCATTTTTAATTCTTATCTCTTATCTCATTCTTATCATTATCGGAAACCAATTGTAAAACTCCATAAATTAAGGATTTAATCATCTTTCTCTTTCAATCCTACCTGAATATTTATTTTTTTTCTAAAAGCCCTCAGTATTTCTGGTTAGAGTCGCCCGGTTGGGCCAAAGAATCATATGGCGGTGGAAATTTGGGTGAGTGGTCGCCACCATTATCAGCGAACTTTTTTCTTTTTCGAGAGTTTCGAAATTTTTTAACAGTTAGATGCGAGCATTGATTGCTTGCATGAAGTTTCAGTGCTTCTGGAATTTATTAAAATGTCGTTTAAATGTCTTTTACAGTCATTCTTAAAGTATCGTCTGAGGATTTTTTAGATTTTTTGAGGCACTTTTAAAGGTTTTTCCAGAACGAAAGCCATTTTCATAGTAATTTCGGACATTTTCAAAGACGCTCTTCTTTATTGTTTTCTACGTGCGCTTAATCTGCTTTCTACGAAATTATCATTGTGAATTAAATAAAAATATTTAAAAAAAATTAAAAATGATAATAAATGTAAATAAATATTTTAAAAATATTGCTTTTAATTTCTAACGCACAAAATATCGACACATGTAAAACAAAAAAAATCAAACCAATTCTAACTAGGTTAGTTCCATCGGCTTATAAAGTTAGATCGCGAGCACCACTCGGATTCATGAATAAGAGTGGAATCCAGCACGATGAGTTACCTATATATCCAGTACGCTATTCCCTATTCCGACAAGTGTAATCGATAAGAACGAAAAGTCTTTGGATAAAAATCATTTATAGTACGCCTTATAGGAGTTCCAGGAATTCCGAGCAGAGAAAATCTGTGAACCACACTCGATTTTACAATGTGGCTAATTGGTTCGAAAAAAGCGAATAAATTTAAAAAGCTAAATAATTCGTGCAAATTATTTTCAATTATTTATGCAAAATAATTTGTAATAATTTAAAATGATCCGATTCGTTGGTTTTATTTGGCTCGGCCTAACGACTATTTTAATATTTCAATAATCGTTTCTTTCGTTTAATTATAATTTTTATTTCTTATTTTCGTTTTTTTTTTAAATTTTTTAAAAATAAAATTGTTAAATTTTTTAATATTTTAATTTATTGTAAACATACAAATATGGATTAATTATTTCAGAAATTTATTTTATAAATTGTTTTTTTGCAAAAAAAAAAATTTAAAATTTGAATGAAAATTATTGGAGATATTTAATGTTGAAAATTGAATCAAAAAAGACGAGAAAAAAAATGTGAGTTTTTTTATATTTTCGTAAATTTTTTAAAAATGCTAATTTATTTATTTTGAATATTTAATTTTTTTAAATTATATATTTTGGAAAAAATTTTTTATTTGTGAAAAAATCGGATAATTCAATTTTTTTAAGGAAGAGAAAAATATTTTATAACAAAAATTTAAATTTATTAATTTGATTAATTAATTAAATTTATTAAAAATTTATTTATTAAGTAAAATTAATATGACAATTAAAACAAATAATATTTATATGAAATTTAATAAATTAATTAATTTTAAAATAAAAAAATTTCTTTTTTAGAATTTGTTTTTTTTTTTTTAGAGCGAAATCTAGCTTATTTTAAATAAATTAGTTGTATTATCAGCTTCCATCAGTTCATTTCAAGCATATCAATTTCTCTACTGTTATGACAAAATTTTAAAAGAAAATTTTGAATTGATGATCTCTACTCAGTATTGGCGAAATATCTTGTCAAGGATTACAGATGATGAACATAAAAATGATTTGGATTTAGGTATTTTTTAAAATTTCTTTTAAAAAAACCTTTTTTACGATAGTTGATTTAATTAATTTTAAATTTTATTAAAATTTTACAAAATTAAAATAACTATAATTTTTTTTTTTAAATTTAAATTAATTTAAATTAAAAGCATTATTTTTTTGAAATATTCAAAGTAAATCGGTTGGAAATAACAATGAATTGTTCTGCCTTTAGATTCTCAAAAAAAAAAGAAAATTGCTCTACCGAAAATAAAAAATAAAAAATGAAATTTTTTATTTATTTATTTTAATTTTTAGTTTTATTTTTATGCAAAAAGTTAATTTTTATATTAGCGTAGAAAAAATTTTACTGTTGAAAATTTATGAATCGCTCATTGCTCGGCTTGTTGCTCTCGTTTTATTACGTCGGTCAACTACCAAAAAGAATGCTAAATGTTTTTTTTCAAAAAATCCGTTACTGGATATAGTCCATCTATCGGCGGGTGATTCCCAGAAAAAAAATTTATCAGATCCGACAAACCAGTAATCTAAATTTATTTATACATATTATGTAACGGGAGTGGAATGGCTCGGTAGGTGGTTGCTCGATTGAGAGCGCCGAAGCTGATTTCCCGATTCCCCGCATGAGTAAACCTGTACAAAAATCCGGGTGATGCTGGTGACTCACCTTTATTTCTATCGCCAAAAGATTCCCTGGCATATTGCTCAATGTGACAAGCCAGTGGAACGAGTTTGACCACTAATGGTGATGGCTCTCTTATTATTTTAGGTGATATATTAGATAAGAAATATAATATATTAGTAATATATTAAGTAATATTATCTTTTTAATATATTATAATACTTATATAATTCTTTAATAGTTTCAGATGCATTACTGATGAATAAAGACTTAAGTCAAGACGAAGCAAATGAAAGGAAAGATTGTGAAAATATAGCAAATCTTCAAAGTCCATTAAGTGATGAAGGCGAATCGTCAAATCAAGGAACTAGTAGTAGTAGACCTGAAAAGAAACATCATGAGGATTCACATGAAACAAATTGTGATGATGAATCGATTGCATCGGAAATAAGTGAAATTACAAGGTCGTGGAATAAATCCGAAGTTAAAGCGACAATTAGCGGTCTTAATGGTGCTGATGAACCACAGCCATCATCATCATCATCATTATCGAGTGGATCGTCAAGCAATAACAGTCAAGCTAAGGATAAGGATAATCGGCCAGTACGATCTGATGAAAATACTAACATTATTCATCGAGATGAATTTAAAATGGATATGGGAGAGATTCGTGGATTGCATTTGTTCAATGGCCAAGTTCAGCTTGACGAAAAAATCAAAACTCCTCCTAGTAAATTATATTATATTATATTTAATTATTTTAATAATTTTTAAAATCGTTTTATTAATTTAAATAAGAAAAGAAAAAAGCGATTTGGTTTAGAATAAATATGATTTGCTCATAATGTTTTAATTTATTTTCAAAATTAATAAAAATATTTTATGAAATTTAATTTAATAATAAAAAAATAGAAATAAATTTGAATAATAAGATTTAAAAGAAAATAAATAAATTAAAACATTTTAATTTAATAAATTTAATAAATAAAACACGAATAAAAAATAATTTAGATGAAATTTTAATGAATAATTCTCAAAAATCTTTGAAAAAAAAAATATATATATATATATAAAAATATAAAATAAAGAAAATATAAAAAAATATTAATAATAATTAAATTAATAACTATAAATTAATATATTAAGAGCTGAAACAGATATTGAAAAAAAAGCGCCAACGTCGAAATCCTGTTTGGCCATATTTTGAAGTACGCGACAATAACGCGTATTGTAAGCAGTGTAGTTATAACACAAGGTCGGTCTTCAGTACGAATCTCAAGGTGCATCTCAGGACTCATCATCCTCTTTTATACGAAGAGGTGAGGAGCTTCTCCTATTATTTAATTTAGAATTTACGCATTATTTACAATAATGAATAATTTATACTTTTTTTTTTTTTTTTAAAATGAATCTGATTGTTTTAGGTAAAAAAAGCTGAAGACGAACAATTAAGAGCGAATCAATCAGCGAATGATCCGACTACATCAACGTTCATTGCAGCTCATCAATATTTACAACAGGTGACAAACGCCTTATCTGCCAATAATCTTTGCATTAATCAAAAGGTGATTGGTGATCGATGCAGTGCGACTCGTTTGGATTTAACAAAGACCTGTCTAAAGGGAAATCAGAATAGTGCAAAATTGCCTAATCTTTCTTCTGTTTGTCCTAAGAAATCAAACGATTTAATAGAACAAAGCTCAACTTCAGGTATCTATTATTTTAATTATTATATATAATTTTTATATAATTTATTCTTTTTCAAATAATATTTTTAATTTTTAATCCTTTTCTTATTTAGTTTTTGTTAGACTTGAACTTGGATTAGTTATTATCCCATTAAATTATTAGATTTGAATCCTTTATGCCGGAAAGTTGGGAATATTAAGTGAATAGGTGATTTTCTGGCCAGCAGGGTTTTGAAAGAGCTTATTTGTGTCTTGAGATCCATGTTATTCGTGGACAATCGACAACACTCTTATATAGGGTCCAAGCTCATACGAATTATTTTCGCTGCAATTTTAGATTTTCAAATTTTAGCAATCATTGTTCCTATAGAAAGAATTTATTATAAGATCATTTTATCTAAAATTTTTACTTTTTCCACTTTACTTTCATTGTCTAAAATTTTTATAAGAAAGAAGAGATATAGGAACCGAAGACGCCACGAAGCCAACTTTCGACGAAGTCTGTTCGCAATTACTGAATTGTATGAAAAACGATGAAAGTCTTATACCTCGAGGACAACTGAAACCTCGTCGACTTCGTCGACATCCAGTATGGAATTTTTTCGAGGATATCGATAATAGCAAGGTTGATTAACTAACGATTTCCTATCCATCGATAAAATTTCTCATATAATTTCTTTCATTTCTATTTTTAATATTTATTAATATTTCTATTTTTAATATTTCAAGCTTTTCCAACTAATTAAAATCACACTTTTTTTGCCGTTTAATAATTTGATAATATTAATAATAATTATAATAATAATAATTAATAAAATAATAATTAATATTTTTAAAAATTTTTAACTAATAACTGATAAGTGGAATTTCACAAATAATTCGAAAAATCATTCAAAATTATCAAAGTTTTCGTTTCCTTTAGTGATTTACTTTGTGGGATAACATATTCCATTTTGCTTTTTCTTGTAATTAAACCTAATTTTGTTTATACAAAATTATCATATTACTTTGTTTATATCAATGATTTTTAGTTTTGTCGATTATATTTAGACAAAAAAAAAAAAAATTTTGAAAAATAATTTTATTTTTATTAAAAAAAATAATTTTATTTATTATTTTTCAATTTTATTTTTTTTTTTTTAGATAATCAAATGTATGAAATGCGATTTTCAAACAGGTTCAGCATATAGTACAAACTTAAAAATGCACCTAAAGGCACATCATAAAAAAGATTTTGAATTAGTTACACGTTTAGAAGATGAACAAAGAAAAGCGGATGATTTACAAAGGATACAATTGGGAAAAAGGTATAATTTTTTCCATACGAATAATTTTTATAAATAATAATATTTAATAATAAATAATAATAATAATATAAATAATAATATTTAATAATAAATAATATTTGTAGAAATTTTATTATTCAATTAAAATTCCTAAATTTTTTTATATTTGCTATGGAATTTTACGAAGTGCTCTATAAATCTTTCTGTTAATTGAGCCATTCTTCATCTCTTAGCTTGCAATATTACTGATTAGACAAGGCTATTGCTGCGCTGTCTATAGAAATTTCCGAATTGTTCGATCCTGTGCCATACCTAAGAGTAATACAGAGAGATACTGTTTTTGCCTATCGTCTAATCCCATATATTACTAAGCTTTATTTTGTTGAAAATACAAAATAGAATTACGAAGAATCATTAAACACATCGGATTTGGTTGTTGTTCTAATTATAATATTTCATTGAAAGAAATTATCTTGCAGGAAAATTAGTGGAGCATCTGATACTGCTGAAAGTTCCACAAATCAGTCGACTAATCAGCTATTTCGAAGAGATATAGATTTAAGCGTAGTAAAAAAGTCAAACATTTCAAATGAAATGAAGTAATTTTTTTTTTTTTTTTAAATGAAAAATTTATTGTAATCATTTTTAGTTTATTTGTAATTAGGTTTATCTATTTTATCTATTTTTTTATCTGTTTTTTCTATTTTTTATCTATTTTTTTATTTTAAGAATTTACGATGATCCAGTAATCGAAGAAGATCGACCTATGACACATTTCGAACAGCTAACTGCATATGTGGAAAGTGAAACAGAAAAGATTAAATTAAAAGGTTTGCTTTTTCTCGTATCAATCTCTTTTCTTATAAATGGAATAAAAAAGAAAAGAAAAGAATAAAATTTGAAATTCTCAAATTTTTCTATACGACTATTTTTCGTTCTCTAAAAAATCTTCTTCATAAAATATAAAAAATTTAATTTTTCTCAGAATTTTTATCAGTAGATAGATAGATGTAGTGATTTGCGTTTGTCATTTCTAATTCGGCTAGCATCTCTCTTAATTAGTATGGAAGTTTTTATCACTTGATTACAGAAGTTATCACTTGATGATAGAAATTTAGATGAATCGCACGTCCTATCGTTTTTAGCATTTTTCTACGATATCTGTCGTCTTTTTCATAGTATTTTAAAAAATATACTGATTTTAGATAAAGAAGAAGAATTACGAGAAGAAACGACTGATCTTTCTGTATTGAATTCGAATGCTATCTTGAAAGCGATGGTTAATGAATGCAGCGTTAAACCTTTATCATCATTAGACTGCTTACATTCATCAGTGTCATTACTCAAAAATATTTTACCTTCTAGTGGATCATCTGTAAGCGAATCACGAAGTCCATCCTCTACCTCTGCTTTGAATCCTGCCGATCAACAAAATTCTCCTTTGACATCGTCTTTTTTAGCTCCATCTCAGAAATGTTTAAGGTTGTTCGATTTTTTCGCTAATTTCGCTAATTTTCTTCGAATAGTTTTTATATTCATTCTAAACATATATAAAATTTTCAGTTCAGTGTTTATTTTTAGGACAGTGAATAAAAAATTACCAACGGGTGAAGTAGTAAAGATACGATCACGAAGAACAGACGTGAATGAATGTAGTGATGGCACCAACCTGTCAAAGAAGACTGGAAATTTTGTGTTCAAACAGGCAGTGGTTCCAGCACTTCGATCAGCCTTGAGTACTGTCGATGCTGCAGTATTACAACGAAGCAACATTGCTGCAACAAAACAACGTGCTGGTGACGCAGCTTTTATAAAATTAATTAAAGCTCAAGCCAGTTGCTTTCAATTATTGGATATATCAGAATTTAAGGTTAGTAAAACGAATGATTTATAGTTTTTTTTTTTTAAAGACTCTTATCAATTATTATTATTATCAAATTAGTTCTTGAACCAGAGATGTGTCAGCATGAAAAGAAAAAAAAACTTATGTCTTTATTTATCTTTACATCTGGAAATTAGCAAGAAAAAGTGTTTAACGACGTCTAGTCTAGTTTTGTTTATATGGTGATAAAAATATGAGTTTATCACCAACGCCAACGGAACTTTTTGATGTTTATCAGAGCTTTATCAGAGAGACTAAATTTGAAATGCTGAACTATAATCGAAGCAATTAATGTCATTCTTTGCCATTAGCATTATCACTATTTATGATTTTGTTGCCATTTTTGCCATTTTTTTAAAAAAATTTATTAATATTTAGGCATTTCTCAAGGCGATCGCTCCTGATTATAATCTACCAAGCAAGGAGGAAATTATTCTTCAAATTCAACTTAATCGTTCTTAAAGGAAATGCATAAAAGGACATGAATCTTCTATCGAAGAAAAATATTTTTCTTTATTCTCGAATATAGCTCAAATTTTTTCTCATTTCACTTGGTTTTTTTTATTGTTTTTTTGCAAATATTAAAGAAAGAATTATTATTATTATTATCATTATTATTATTATTGTTAAGCCAAAAGATTCAAAAGGGCCAAAAGGTCAAAAGAGGCATCCATGAATTCTAAAATTTAAAGACCATTTAATCGCTATTAAATAATAAAATAAAATGTCTTTAATGATTGATCATCTTTAAATCTCGTTCTTTCATTGTTTTTTTTTGTTTTTTTTTTACACATTTTATTAATTTCCCTTTTTTTTTAAACTGAATAGCAAAGAATTTATAAAAATCATTATTTTACTCGCTTTTTGATTTTATTATTTTTTTAGTTTATAATTTGTTCGAAATCATGAAAATTGAATAGCGAAAATTTTTGCAATTTTAATATTTCTCAATATTTTCTATGAAATTATTTTCGCCACTGATTAAAGTGCCTTGTCAAATGGTGTTTTTTTTCACCGCATTTTTTTTTCAAATTCCCAGCGGTGATTTTTAGGTAATTTTAAATTTTAAATCTTTTAAAATAAATTATTTATAGTTGTTTATATAAGTTAATCAAACGATTTGCCTTAACGATTAATTTCGCCATATTATTATTTCATTTTTCTTCATTTATTGTTTCTGTTTTTGGTTTTTTTTTTTCGGTAAATTCCTTTCATCTTTTTATCATATGGTTTTTAAATTTATCAGCGAGTATATCGGCAGCGTTTTTTATTTTTAATATTGATGGTGATAATTGTGATAATTATATTAAAAATGAAAATAATAATGATATATATGATAATTTAAATTTGAAAATATTTTCACCTTAATTTTTATCAGCGAAAAATTTAGATTTTATTTTATCACCAAATTATTGAATTGTTACATTTTCTACAATTATGAATAGACGAATGAGAATATGGGTAAAATTTTCTAAAAAAAAAATCTACCTCGCCTTTAGAATATTCAAGCAAACATTCCTCATTCGAATGCAAAATAATTTATTACTTTTATTACTGAATATAAACGCTTGCCGATTTTTGCTTAATCTTGCCTTCTTTTTACCGCTAAGTATTGTTTTTTTAAACACCCTTTTGACGGGTTTGGATTTGTTTCGGATTTTACAAGTGATAAATTTGATTTTATTCTAATTTGACTGATAAAACTTTTTTATTTTACTATTTATAATTGCTGCATCTCTGCAATAATAATTTTGCTATTGTTTTATTAATTTTAGTCGTGTTTCTTTTCAAATTGGTTTCATAAATGAAGTGGTTCTGCTAGAGAATGGATGCTTGGAGGTGTCCACTGTTTTACTTTTAATTCGTTGCTCACTTATATTTGATTTAAATGGAAAAAATACACATAGTTTAATTATTAAATCTCTCTGGCTTTTTTGGACAATTTCTTCTTCTTCTTCTTCTAACAGCTCTCACCATTGCTGGTTAGGCTGGCTCCACTGGCTATAAGAATAAAACGTCTCCAAGTTTCCCGGTTCGATTCCATCGCTAATAGTAATAGAAGCCATTCGTCTAAGTCCATATATCAATTTTTGGACAATTTAATTTAATGCATATTATAAGTATAAAAAGTGGTGCTCAAAAATAGCTCCTAAAAACACCATTGCAAGAACACCATTTGCACCATTCTAATAATTTCGTATAATTTTCTACGATCGAAAGTCATTAAAAAATTGAAAAATTATTTTATATAAGTAGTGAAATATTTCATTGCTGATTTGTTTAAATTTTTTTTTTTAAATATTTAATATTTTTGAATATTTAAATTTTTAAAATATAAACAACTATCCAAATTATTGTTGGGATTTGTTATAATGTTTGTTATTTAAAAAAAAATGCAAATATTAAAAAGAATATAAAAAATTAAAAAAAAATTTTGCGCGTTAATGAAATTTTAGAAATCATATGAAAATATGCGAATTTACATTTAAATATAAAATTATAATATAATATAAAATATAATATAAAATTTATAAACTTTTAATAAAGAATAAAGAATTTAATAATAATAAAGAATTTTAAAATGCAAAAAAAAGGCAGTGACCATTACATTATATTAAATTTCTAAAAAAAATTTCTTTTTTTTTTAAAAATTTTCTATCAAAATTATAGCTTTGAAAAAATAATTACAAAAATGTCAACATTAAAGCATAAAAGTTTTAGTTCGGCAGTTTTTTTTGCAATAATAAAATTTCAATAAAACAAAGGTTTACAATAAAATTAATTTAATATAAAATCGATTTACAATAAAAAAAAAAAGGAGCAAACGAGGAATCGCTGTTAATTATCGATATAAAAGAATGTTACAAATAAATTTGCAATCGGATAACATATTGCAAGTTGGCGATCATAATGATAAAAATACCCAAGAGTTACAATAGGCATAGGCAATTCCCACAGATTGAAAATTCCCCGTAAAATATAGGAAAAAAATTTCCATTGTTGCGCATAGAATATATATGCGTGAAAGTAGCACTCGTCGCTCACTTATTTACTGCTCGCTCGCTGTTTTCTCCCATTTTTTTTAGATTAATGAACTGAGATAAAAGATTTTTCGCTATTTAGTGATTTGATTGAACTGCAAAAAATTTCTCAAAAATAAATCAGAAAAATTTTTAATTAGATTTAATTAAAATTAAAAATTATTAATTATTAATTAAATTATTAATTAAAATTAATTTTATTCATAGAAAAATTCTAAATTCTAATAACTAAGAAGTGAAAAGCTTCTTTCAAAATTTTTTCACGTTTAATCCACGATTAATCTACGTTTTAGTTTATTGGAGAATGTCAAAGGTTAAAAATGAAAAGACTAATAAATTTTATGGTTTCTCTCTCTTGGAATATTTATTTTAAAACATAAAAATAAAAATAAATAAATAAAATTAAAAATTATATAACCTTTCGTTGTTAGTTTCTTTAAGGCAAAAACTATTCTCATCGTTTTCGTTATTAAAAGTTGATGAAGAAATTAGCGTTAACCAGTCAGGTGTTAAAGTTTTCGTCCATTTATGTCTCAAAACTTCTTCTAATGTACAACGAGTTAATGGATCAAAGCGTAAACACTGCTGAATGAGGTCTTTGGCCTCTAAAAATCCAATAATTATCAAATTTCTTAATTTGAATCTTTTCACAATAATTCTTCATTTCGTTAAGATCAGGCAAGGCCATTAACCATATGTTTATTTATTTATGTTTTTTTTTAAAAAGTCCTCATTATTACTGGTTAAACACGGTCCACTGGCTTCTCGTATTGGGCAATATACCAGGGAGTGGTTTGGCGATAAAAACATAGATGAGTCGCCAGCATCACCCGGATTTTTGTACAGGTTTACTCCAGCCGGGAATCGAACCTCAGCATCGGTGCTCCAAATTGAGCAATAACCCACTGAGCTATCCTATCCCCATGCTTATTTATTATTTATCGAAAATCAAACTAATGGAAATACAATCCAGTGAAGAATAAAATAAGCATTAATAGGTTAAACAACGATATTTTTATCAAATTCGCTTGGATCATTTAATTTTACGCTTAATTTCTTAATCTAAAAATAATAAATTTTAAAAAATTTTAAATTTAAATTCTTAAATAACCAGAGCTTATTGGAGCATAAAATTGTAATGGTCCAAGCATGTGCATAGTGCAAATATCTTTTTCATCATGAAAAGGTAGTCGTCCATTCAACATGTTATATAGCAAAATACCAAGCGACCAAACCGTTCCTTCCTCATCCAAATAAAGCGAATGAAGGAACCATTCAGGTGGACAATATAACCTGGTACCTGAAAATTCATAACATAATGAATGAATAACAAACAAAAACCAAAAAACTGTTTTGAATAATTAATAAAACATTCGATTCTCATTTACCTTGAAAGTCCGAATAATGAATTTCATCGAGTAATATTGCAGCACCAAAGTCAATCAGCCGAATTTCACCTGTCACCAAGTCAATTACAATATTTTCGTCCTTAAGTAGGCTTTATTAATGAATTTTACCAAATTTAGTTCAAAAAATCTTCATCGTGAGCGCCGATGAAATAAATTTTGTTACAACTTATGAAGAAGGAAAATTTATGGATTTTTGGAAATTGCAGTTATTTCTTGGTTATTACAAGAATCTATTCATCACACTAGTTATGATAATCCTAAAAAACCAAAAAATATTCTTCCAAATAATGAAAAAAACTGCAAGACTGGCGTGAGTCGAGCCTAAAGTCCACAGGTTCTTCGTTTTATCCGATGAATAGATGCATATGCTGTCGCATCAAATAAAAACCTCTTTTTTTAAAGAGCTAGTTAAATTCGCTCTGCTGGCTTGTCGGACTAAACAAATATGCCAGGGATTGTCTAGCGATAGAGACACAAGTGAATAGCCAGCATCACCTGGATTTTTGGACAGATTTATCCCTGCCAGGATTGGAACATAGCATCGATTTTTTGAGTTGAGCAACAACCACTGAGCCATTCTACCATTCTATTCATCTTTGCTTTCTCTATCAGTGCCGCACGGCGAAGCATGATGCATCGGCCGGATTCGAACTTAAATTTTGTTATTAAGCCATCGACGCAGCAAAAAAATTTGGAATGCTTCACGGATTTCCATGTCAAAAAAACACCTGTGAGACTACAATAAAAAATTTCATCCAGTAATATTTAGTTTCGCAAAATTAATTCAATAACTTATCATTAATGATAATTTAAGTTATTATTAAGTTCAATTTCAATTTAGCTTTTTTTAAACGATATTAATTAAATGAATAACCTTTAAATCTCGATGCACAACTTTTCGTTGCATGCATTCATCGACCGTTTGCACGATTTGTCGAAAGAAAAAGCGTGCAAACTGTAAAATTATAAAATTAAATAAATAAAGCGACGCACTAATATGATAGCCAACAAAAACTAGTTTACTATGATTAATTAACGTAAAAATTTTTCGATTACCTCTTGAAATTTAGTGAAGTAAAATTTCATACAACTTGAAAATCTTGAAAATTATTCAAATATTTAATTATAAGAGGAAAAGAAAAAGAAGATAGGGAAAAAAATGGAGAGGAAAAAGATAAAAATAATGGAAAAAATTGAAAAAAAATTTTCCTATGCAAAATTTTGCGTAAAATATATGAAATTAATAATGATAAGCATTTAAATTAGGTTTTAAAACAAATTTAAAATATCAAAAATTTTTGGAATTAAATGAAAAATTAAAAATTTTAAAGGTTTTTCAAAATTTCTTTCACGAAATTTGTTTATTTTGTTTATTTGTTTGTTTATTTATTTAAAAAATAAATTAAATTTTAATTTTTTTAAATATTCATTAAAACTTTTTAAATAAATTTATGTTGAAATTAACATTTTCAGTTAATCGTTGTTCACTTTTGATAAAATCGAAAAGATCAATGGAAGGAAATGGTCGTTCCATAATTATAAGAAATCCTTCAGCTAAATGAAACCAATCGAGAAGGTCAACAACGCCCGTTATAGGGGCACAACGAGCGAGAATACTGATCTCCATTGGTACTTGCTCGTCGTTTAACTAAAATTCACCGCTTATAAATGATAATAACCATATTGTTTTCAGTGTTTTTAAGCTGATAAAAATAAAGATGGTTTAAATAATATAAAAAATTATTTTATTTGTAAAACTAAATAGATAGCTTAATTTCTCATTTATTGCTGCATGTTTAAAGTACCAAATTAGAAATTTGCCAATTTAATTTTAAAATTTTACCAAATTATACTACAACGGGAAGGAGAAATTCCACTGCAAGCAGAATGAAATGAGGTTCACAGGCTTCACTTTCAATGACAGCCCAGATTGGAAGTGTTGTGCAAGAAATTATTGTTGCCTTAGGGCAACAATCAAAAATATTTTCGAAATCATAATACTACTAAGAAAATTGTTACGTTACGAACAAATGTTAAAATATTTTTTAGCGATAAATACTAGATTATTTTTTATAAAAACTTGAATTATTTTCGTACGGAGTTCTTCGGCTGAAATCGCTTTCATTTAAAAATATAAAAATTCTTTAAAAAATTCAAAATCTTGTGGCCTAAGGCTTGAATTTATTAAAAAACTCGATGAAATAGAAAAATTGCATAGATTTATTTATTTTACTTCACTTTCGATTTAAGCATGTAACTAATTAGCACTAATCATTTCTGGCTAGGCTCAAAATACGATAAGAAATTATTGTATAATGCAGTATCACCAGGAATTTTTAATGATAGGTTTATTTCTGCTAGGAAAAGAGATCGAAATCTCGGGTTTTTTTGCCAATCCAAACCACTATCCATTCGGCAATTTTGCCTCCTTTATTTCCTTCGATTTACTTTCGAAAAGCATGAAAATTCGAGAAAAATTTTAAAAATTAAAAATTGTTTCCGAGTTATTTGCTATTTTTCAATTAAAAATTTTTTTGAACTGCCACAAAATGTTAAATTTAAACGAGTAAATCACATGAGAAAATTTTATGAAAATTTGTTTCTCTTTTTTCCTTTTCCTTTTTTCCTTGAATCATTTTCAACTCGTTGTACTGTAAAATATAAGAAAAACATGCTTGTATGCTTGTAAATATTTAAATTTTTAAATAAAAACAACTTAAATAATTTTGAATTTAATATCAACTTATCAATTCTAAATATCAACTTTTAGTGTAATAAATGATAATAAATTTGTTATTCTTATCAATAATGCTATTTATCATTTACAATTATAATTATGTAATGATTGACGCCGATTTGACGAAAAACATAGAAATTTTTGCAATGAATTCTTTCTAAGAGCACCCATCATCATTTGTGCCTAGGTCGCTCCATCGGCTTATCAAGCATATTTTTGCCAAGGAATGGAAATAGAAATATGGGTCACTACACACTAGCATAACTCTGACTTTTTGAAAACAAATTTATTCCTCTGGGAATTCCAGAATTTCAACATGATAAATGATAATAATAAATTTGTTATTCTTATCATTAATGCCATTTATCATTTATAATTATAATTATGTATTGGTGTTCCAAAATGAAAGCAACCTATCTTATCCTACTAAAAAATATTGAATATTACAAATATTATATTACTTTTCCCCATTCTCTCACATATCTTCGGTCAATAAATTTTACAGCGACAGGTGTTTCATCATTAGTTCGTATCGCACCATACACAATACCAAAACCGCCACGACCAAGTTCTTCGGTTAATTGATAATTCTTTTTGAATTTCGAAAGACCTCGACCTAATATAAAAAATTTGTTCATAAATCTTTGAATATTTGGCTAAAATATCTTAAAGAATAATAATCTTTTTGCGATATTTTTGCATAATAATTCTTTAATAATAAAGCTCATAAAATATAGAATTTATAACAAAAATAAAATTAGCGATTAAAAAATTCAATAATTTTTAAAAATATTTATGTGAGAAAACTAATTAAGAACGGATGATTAAAGTATACGCAAAATACAATGGAGCTGGTTTTTTTTTCTTTTTTTTGTAAATCCATATATTTACAAATATATTTTTAGATATTAGATATTTAAATATTTTAGATATATTTTAAGATAACCAAAATAACCATTAGTTATTTTGCTTACTGAATTGTTGTATTTTTTTAATTTTTTTGGGAAATTTTTACCGTTCAATAAATGTTTGAGATTTAAAATTTGTTGCGATAATTTTCTAACTGTTTTACTAAAATCCGGTGACATAATTAGTATAGAAAATTATCGAATCAGAAAATATCATTAAAGCCAACAAATCTGAAAATATAGATTAAGGCAAATTAAGGCATTAAGGCATTTAAAGCGATAATAACGTAATAACGTAATAAAATATTTGTATATATATATATATGTACAAACAAATATATTGTTAGGTTCGAAAATACGAAATCCAGAATCGTTCGTTGAATGGATTGGAGCGATTGAAAAAACCAAAGAGATTTTTTAAAATTTAGCTAAATCACCAGACGAAAAAAAATATTACTGAGGTTGTTCTCATTTCTTATCGAATAGTATTAGTATTTTCACTGGTCAACTGGCATTTTTAGATTCGTTCGGTAAGAGATTTAACAATAGAATTAAAAGAAAATAGGCTCCAAATAAGGAATAAACCAAACTTATTGACACCAAAGAGTTTTAAAAGCTAAGATGATAAGATGGTGAAGTAAGAGCTTAAAAGACATTTGGGAAGAGAGGATTTAGTGGATTAATTGGTATTTTACCTCGACTAAGGTTATTATCTGTTGAATTTCGTGAGCAAAATTTGTCATTGCCAGAGTGAAAGTATCAAGTATTGACTACCAACTATATTTTTATCCCTAAGTGATTCTTACTTGATTTTCAATCGTCGAATGAACACCACTTAGACAAGAAATGGCGAATGCTATTAGCAATTTTATTTTAAACCAACTTCATTTAAACTAAAATTAAATTTAAATTTATGAAAATTTTATGAAAACTTGCTGCTTAAAAGCAGCGCATTATAAATATCAACTTTACATGCAAAAAGATTTAAAGAAAATTTCATCATTTCATATCAAAATTCGATCAAAATCAATAAATATAAATAAAACTGATAATTGATAATTTGATGATTATGAATAGACTAATAATATCCTAGGAAAAACCTAGAAAGAAACGGTAAAATAGGTTTGGTAAAAGTTTATTATTAAGGAAGAAAGGAAGGAAGAAGAAAAAGGAAAAAAAAATTAAGTGAAGGAAGAATTAACAACTTAGAATTAACAAGGTAATATCCAACGATTGCAAACAAAACTCTCCATATAGTAGATTAAATTAAATTTTTTGGCCGTTTGTATATTTTTGTTTTTTTTCCGGTTTCAAGACGAGAAATCACATCGCTGTTATGTATTAGTATTTGTGAATGATTAGTAAACTATTCTTATCACTATTGTTATCACCATTTATTTTCGTTTATCAGTCAAACTAGTTGAATGAGCAAATGTTCATTATGATGAAATGACAAAATGGTAAAAATAAACAATCAAAATCGTTATCCTTACTTTTTTTTTTTAGTTAATTGATTTTGGTTATAAGAATGAAATATAATTAAACAAAAAGATATGATGACTGATGATTAAGTTGATTCAACAGTTTCTTTTTTCTAAGAGCACTCATCATTTCCAGTTAGGCTCGTTTAGCTAGCTAATCGCACCAGATAAATTTTGCCAAGGAGCTGATTCGTCAGTGCCACTAAAATTTTTGAATTCAGTGGAAATAAAGCGATTTCAGGAAAAAAACCTGATTATTTCCTGACGCATAAACAAGCTTATGAAGGGATATCAGCCGAATACATGTTACTTCGTTTGAATATGGATTCGGTGCTGAAAATGAAATCCTGTTGGTTTTAGAAATCCATAGCGTATTTCTTTCTCCATATGTCTCTTTGCTCAATTTACTGGTGTTAGTGGAATTAGTCAAATTAAAAATGCTGCGTATTATTAGATGATAAATATTGTGAAAAATAATGTAATTATGAAAAATATGAATGTAATGAAAATAATTATCATTGAATTGAAAAAAAATCAAAATCAAATAATGATAAAGAATTTTGTGAAAAAATTTTAGAAATTTCAAAATTTATCATGAAAAGATAGAAAATTGATAAAAGAAAATAGAAAAGAATTAAGAATAATGAAAAATAGAAATAAAAACAGATTAATTTGATTTTAATAGTCGAAAAATTTTTGAAATACATAAAATACTTGTTTAATGATAATAATGATAATAATAATAACGGTAATAACGATAAACATGCACGCATATGTCGATGCATGCATTTCATGTATGTTATTGAAGCCTTTTGCATGCAAGCATCTCGTGCATGCTATTATAATTTTCTGCATGTATGCAATGTGTATTATAAAAGCGAAAAATTTGAAAATTTCAACCATTATGATGAAATGAATGATTTTCAGCATGTTTGACTACAAACCGAAATAACCAAAACGATTCACCCATGCGTTTTTGTGCATTTATCAATGACGCAAAATAAATTTCTGAAACCATTAATTTTCTTTTTCGCCGATTCATTTCATTTATCATTTGGTTCCATTTTTTTTCTATTTTTTTTGCTAAAAATTCCCCAAAATTTTCCAAAAGAGTTATTAAAAAATTCGGTGTAAATTTTTTCTAAATTTGTTTATAATTATTAAATTATTTAAAATCGTATTTTAAATCGATAAGAAAAAAAAATAAAAGCAATAATAATTTTTAGGATTAATTATTGTAATTATTATTATTATTATTAATATTATTATTAATACTTCTTCTCTTCTACCCAATGCTAATACACTGGTTTGAATAGCGCTACAGTAAAATTGTGACATTCATTCAATAGCAGAGAATTAGTAATAGATCCACAAGTGTTTATGGGCGGGTTTATGCGTCTATGTGGTGTATGGTGTATGGTTTTTATGGTGTATGGTGAGTGTTCACCACGAACCACTTATTGTTAATACTTAATTTTAATCTTATATATCTTATTAAATAATTTACAAAATATCCTGTTAGATTATGAAAAAAAAACGAGAAAAATTTTTCAAACATATTGCTATCTTAAGTTTGTATCATTGGTTATTAATAATGCCATAAGTTGTATCATAAAAAAGAGAAATAAAATTGAGAGTGAATCATATTGCAAATTGAAGAATTTGAATTGTGGAACCTAATATGCAGTACCATAGGTTTCATAAAATTGGTTCCATAAACAAGACGGATTGCGGAATAATAATAATAATAATAAAACGAGAAATTAAGAATGTATAAAATATTATTAATATTGATTAAGACTGAATGAAAATAAAAACTGAAAAATCGCCATTAAATGAAGTGATTTGTCGAAATGTCACCGAAAATCACATCGCTATATGTAAAATAAATATAGTTAATTATCATTTGCTTTCACTCGACGACTCGTTTTTTTTTTTTTTTGAAGATTTGCAGGATTAAGTCTCTAAATTTGCTAGGGTTTAGCATTAATAACAGGTTTACTGGCATTCAATGAGTAGCAATTCAGCCTTATAATATTTTATGTGGCACTATACGAATCGACGACTCTATTGTCTCTTTACATTTATTCTGAGAAGCCAAAAGCTTTAATTTCAGCCTTATAATATTCGAGCCTTATAAAGCTGTAATTTAATTTGTAATCTAAAATAAAAATCTATAATCTACAATTTATTCGTAAAAATAAGTTTTCTACTTACAATTGTTGATAATACTAAATAAATAATTTAAATGTTAAACATATTATTAAATAATTCATAAATAATTTAATTTTTAAACATATTATTTTTATATTATATTTAATAAATTTTTATATTAATTAAATATAATTTAATATAAAAATTAATCAATATAAAAATAAAAATTAATTAATATAAAAATAATATTAATATAAAATTTAATTTAATTAATTTTATATTTAATATTATAATTTAAATAATTTTTAAAAATACCTATCCTCTCTAATTAATAAATATTGTCAATTGCGAATGGAACAAAATAGTCGTTGTTTCTCGATTTGAACAAAAGGATATTTGTCAGTTTATAATTTTTAGTTCTTAGGAATTATTAAAATATTCCTTGTTGCACCTTTTTTTTTTTTTTATAATATTTTAAAAAAAGCAACGTTATTAATGTTTCAAATTAATGAATCGTTTTGCACTAATACTTTCACATAAAAGGTGTATGATCAGTTAAAAAAAAAACTTGTTTTCGAGTTAAATTATTTATGTTATTCATTGCTTATACACTACACTGCACCACGCCGCACCATAACCCATACCACACACAATAACATACAATAAATGAATGCATTATTTGTTCTTAATAGGTAAAGCTTTTCTAATTATTGAAAATTTAAAACATTTATTTATTTTATTAATTTTCCGGAAAAGAATTAGCCTATGGCATTTCTCATTATTATTATTATTATCAATATTAATATTAATATTTATATTTATATTATATTATATTATATTATTGTTAATAATTATGATTAATGCACTTTTTTTACAAAAATATTTTCTAAAAAAATTTCTTTTTTTTTGAATTAATAATTTCTAAATAAAATTTTAAAAGTTTTTTTTTTAGTTTTTTTATTTATATGAATCAAATACGAAATCATATAATTTTTATTTATTTTAACGTAATTTTTAAATTAAATTATTATTCAAAAGTTGAATGAAATTATGAAATTTAATAGAAAATATGGTTAAAATTTTTTACTAGGGCATTATTATTAATAATAATGACAAAAGTATAAGTGGGTCACCCGGATTTTCTGATGATAGATTTGGCCGATTCAATCAATCGGACCTACTATGACGCTTGACATAGATAGATTTTTTAATGATAGCCTTACTACTATCAGGATTCCTTCAACATACACATAAGTACTTCCAAAGTAATATGTTGATTTGACTTTAACTTTAAACAACAACTTTTTGAGAAGTGATATGGGAAATGATTAAGTAAATAAAGTGATTAGCGCTCATCTCTATTGCCTTTACCCTATTAGGCCGGAGGGCTGGAGTCGATCTCTGGATACGACAATCGCTATTCGCTCGTCGATTCCAAATGAAACACGAGTGATTGCCAGGAAAAAATAAAAAGCAAAAACGTGCGATGAAAATAATTATAAAGAAAAAATAAAAAATTTTGCAAAAAAAAAAATTTTCAGTTCT